CGCCGGAAGCGGGACGGCTTTTATTAACCGAAAGTGGAAGACATGTGCTACCACAACATACCGCGGTACACTTCAAAGGCTTCTGAAGTATTCTCCCTTTCAGATCAGCGCGGAACTTGAGACGCGCCCCTCCTTCACCGCATAATGGCATTCACCGATAAGCAGCAAAACAAAGCGGCAATGTGAGTCTTCGGCCGAGGCAGTGTGTGCCACTGATAATTTGACGACACATTTGCTCGTAAATGAAGTCTGGGTCTTGCTCATAGAACCAGACGATCATTTCGCAATTGAACTTGAGATCTTGGGTCGCTGTACCTTCGGGGGCTGTGTCTTTAGAAACCAAGAAGCAAACATCTGAAAAAAAAAAAAAAAAAACTATTCCCCAGGTGAGGCTCGAACTCCCACCCGGCATTGCTCACAAGCACTTTTTTATAAGTACCGTGCGCTAACCAATTGCGCCACTCGGGATCATTACTTGCATGACGGTATAATATATTTTGGCACACGCACACCAATGATGTTCACGTTGCACCCTTACCATATTCACAAGACAACAAGGATCACAAGCCCGCATCAGAGATGATGCTTTGCATGTTTACTCTACCCGCAACAAAAATAATTTCTGGTAAAAAGTTTCCCGCATACACGACGAGCGATTTCAAAAGTCCGAGCTCAGTGCGAGAAACTCGGTATCGACTAGGAGTGAGTTCTCTGCTTTGCCAGCCAAGCATTGCCAACAACACCTAGAGCGATCGAAGCCTGTGCTCTAGAAATGATCACGTCATCACAGTGAGATCGAGCGAAGACACCGATTGGAAACGAGTCCTGCGTCAGTGCTCGGCTAGGCCTCGTGTCCAATGGACACGTCGAAGGACGTTGGGCATCGGGCTGGGGTCAAATTGCCGAGTTGGCGCCATCCGACTCTGCTGGCTCTGGGCTGAAGAGCGGGGCGTTCGGAGGTCTTCATTATTCTAGATGGTGTTGGCATAGGGAGCTTCGAACGTTCTAACAGGTGCAGTAGTAGCGGCCTAATCTCAAGGCCTCGCGGCACCATTACTTGCGGTGTGTAATTGTTTAGCTTTTCCAAACGAGTAAACGATCACGTTACTTTCATGCGAATTGTGACATTCGCCTTTTGTTATAATGTGTTACGCCAAGGGAAAAAAAAAACTTGTGGCTTTATTCAGTGTTTCACTTGTATCCTTTTGAACGACGATAGCAAAACCTTAGGATCCTCCTTTGGGAGTTAAAATATACAATTAATAAAACACCAAAAAAGCCTCAAGGTTTACGCAGCGCGACCATCGAGCTATTGCAAACACATTCGAGGCACCTCAAGCAAAACCTCGATCTCGAATACATACATTATTACATTGCACTTTTAAGGGTTACGATGAAGTCGCCATAAGTTTCAAAAATTAAGAAGGATTAGCGTTTTTCCTTAGTTCAAGGTAGCGGGACGACGGACTAAGCAGGACAAGACAGGGAAGTTTGACCGGGTTATTTTTCCTGTTGGCTACTTTGTGCTGAAGGACAAGGATGAGGGACTTAAATAGGGAATGAAAGGAGGAAGGTGACAAGAAAAAAAAAAACCCGCAAAAGTTACCAGGTTTGAACGCTATATAAAAATCACAGTTCAAAAACACCGAGATTCATCCACTACAAACATAATTCAGGGGCTGTTTTCCTTAGGAAAGGGACAAGTACTTTTGTGTACTTGGCTTCTTCGTGTAGTTGGTTCCAGTATTTTAGCACTTTTGCCACGGAGAAAAGTCGCGGTTACCCAGAAAGAGAGAGATAGAGAGAGAGAAAGAGAGAGCCATGTTGGTGAAAAAGTGAAATGAGGTAATTGTGTGCGTAAGCTCGTCTGTCGTTACAACGTGCTTGGCAGTTTTCGCCTTTCTGCATCGCGGATGGCGCAGTTGTAGAAGAAGTGACAGATCGCTTTAGTGGTATCATGACTATAGGGTTAGCTTGCATTGTTCCTTGTTCAACCCGCTGAACAAACCGGTTTCAAAGAAACTATGCAACAAGCACGGAATAAAGTAGCCTTTTCACACAATGAACACTATAATTTATAGCTGGCTACCCGTGACAGAAGGTGGATCGTGCATGCGCGGCACGATGATAATCAATGAACATAAAGTTGGACATAAAACGCCAACACACCAGCAAAGAGTTAAGGTATCCCTTTGCAAAAAGACGCCGTCCTTGAAACGAAGTTGAAATATATTGAATATGAATATTCATATTGTATTCATTCTGTATTATTTTGTCCACATTCGAAATTAGCGCGTAAGGTATTCAAAATTATCATAAATATTAATCAGAAAAGATTTTGGATGTACCAAAAATAGAATTCCTTCCCCCTCAAGATGTCATTTGTACATTAAAAACCGGCTACACAATTTTTTTTTATTTTGGATTTTGTTAGTAAACGTTGTTCCTGTGGTATTTGAAGGCACTACTGTATACATCCCCCAACTACACATTAAAAACGAACACAAACACAAACACCATGACGCACTGAACACCTGAATGAAAGTCCCGTTGACTGCTCTAGAGCCTTATATAGCCTACATATTGAAGGTAATCATTTGGCCGGTGACCACCTCTGCACTTATTAACGGTTTCAAGCATTTAATATTCTCCTCGGGAGTCTGTCAAAGGGGAAACAGTGTTTTAAAGTTCGTGGACAGTATCTCTTACTCAAAAGCATTGGTACAACTAATAACAATTCGGCGCAGTCGCTAAAACAATATCCTCGAAAACGGCTCCTAGAAGAAATGTTAAAAGTAAACTTTGGGGGTTTTACGTGCCAAACCAACGACGGGCATCTGGCACGCCCCAGCGGAGGAATGAAGGTTAATTTCGATCACCTGGGGATCTTTCGACGTGCAACAGAAAGCTCGGTTACACGGCGCCTCCTCCGCAATAAGCCTCCGTCAGATTGCGGGCACCTCGGCCGGGATTCGAACTTTCTACATGGGGAAGAAGAAATGTTAATAATACTTAATATGGGCATTAACGTCACTATATTAAAGTCACTACTCACATCACGTACAATGGTGTCTATACAAATTCAGGGAACTAACATTGTGCTAACACAACCAAGCCAAACATATCTGCACACAGCACTTGCTGAGGCTTTCCAGCATCAGCAAGTGTTGCGGTTGTAGTTTCCGAACCCCGTTTGTGATTGGTGTGCAAGAAACTCATGAGGTGTGTCCTTGATAGAAAAATGGTAAATATAATATATATAAACTGGGCTGGTTTATCAGTGCGATGCTGCACAACTCAATTGACAAACTAATCAAATGTTCTATTTAGGCACTTCAGTGTACTCCACATCTGCTTAAAGTAAACTTCTATAGGCGAGCTTTTCGATAATTTGGTAGTTTAAGTCAAACATCCAAAGTGTTGCAGTCAAAAGATACTTAGAGTAAAACACGACTGTATATACGATTTCCAGGTATTTTAAGAGTATTCTGCACATATCTTTGACCGCTGCATTTTTATTAGAGTTGAAGTATATTTTGCATGAAATAAATTAATATTTTAGGAAATCTATGTGAAAAGTATTTTGTGCCTACTAATTTAGTATTTACATATTTCAGAACGCATGAAGGAGACTTCAAATGTAATTTAAATAAATGTATTTTAAAAATATTTTCAGAAATATATTTTGGTATTAAGTAAAAAAAAAAAAAGAAGTGTATATTTTCGGACCATTTCTTGTGTACTCACAATTATGAACTGTACTTCAAGTACACTCAAATTTGAATGTGGTATATTTCAAACGTCTTAGTTTTCGCTAAGGGATGGCATGGAAATAAATCTTAGTCGCTCCAACCAGACTCAGCGACGGCGGTAACCAGAGCACCACCGCGACGATCCGATGCAGACCCACGATAACCCAGTTGGCGAAGATTCCGATGCCACGTGAAGATGGCGCATCGATGCTCAAAGGACACCTGGTGTGCCTTGATGAAAGAAATACGCAGTCTGTTCAACTGCTTGATCGAGGTCACGTGGGTTGTGGGCCGCGTTCGCAATAGACAACCTGCGAGGAGGAGGAGTCAAAAGCGTCGATCGCCTGCAAGCCTTTTCACAGCTCCTCTTGCTTTCCCTCTCGTCTCATCACAACATGCGCACTTTCAATTAATCCGCGCCGGAAGCGTCCGCCATGCAATGCGGAGCGCAAGTTCGTCTGCTTCTTTTGCACTGGTTGGGGGTTACGTCAGAACGCCGAGCCCTGATTGGCTCTGATTGAAGGATAGTAGGTAGACTTCGATGTAGCTGTCTTAATGCCTTTCTAGTAGCTTTCAATCAGAGCCAATCAGAACCCGGCGTTCTGACGCCATCACAACCTCTGCAAATTGAGCAGACGAACCTGCACGCCACATAGCAAACGCTGTCCATTCTTTGACTTGCTCCCCTCTCAAATCCAGGCTCTCTAAGAATACCTCGACAAACGCCAATAGCAATATCGAATCAAACAAACAACGACGACACGTAAAAGACCAACGACAAGCACAACGAGAGGAGTACAGCACGAACAAGAGCAAGACCAGAAACAAAACATACACACCGCCCAGGAGGAGACCTCCTGGCGAGGAAGCGCGCGCTCGAAGCACGGATGGCACGGGAGCGCTCGACACGCAGCGTTGTTTCTTTGTGCTGTGTGCGTGTGTGTTTGTTTGTGTGTGCGTGTGTGTGGAGTCACCTTAGTGTCACGTGCGCTCTCCTCCTGACCGGTAACAAGGGTAGGCAGACGGAAGCAACACGGGCGACGAGGGACTTCTAGGGCCGTTGGAAAGCGGAACGAACGGAAGCCAGTTTCGCCGGTGTTCGCCAATCGGGCACGACCGGGCTAGGGCGAGCTATGGCTTTGGGCGGGACGCCTTTAAAAGCGCCCAACTAGGGCACGGCACTTTCCAGTTGGGCTCGCCGAGTCGCGGACTGCTTGCAACGTCCCGCCGGTTTCAGTTCGCATCACGATGTCTTGGCTCGTAAGTTGTCATCGTCCTCGTCGTCCGCTGTGACTTTTTCTTCTCCCGTCCCGTGGCAGAAGGGAGGAGCCGTCCTCTTCCAGCGATCGGTGGCTGCGTGTCGCAGCATCATTATTCACTTTTCAAACAGTTCAGTATTTTTGACATGGTCGCTGACACCACAAGAAATGCGGGGCTTGGTCTATCATGTTCACGCTTCTTGTATCCTGATTGGCTCTTCGGCGACCTTATCGGGAACTGCTACAATCTGATTGGATGCGGAGCGCTAATGTGATGCACGTGGTTCACCACACCCTGGGTTTCTTGAACTCCCAGTGACTATAGTTGAAAAAAAAATAACTTAAAATATTACGGCTAAAACGAGGGTACAAATTTTAGCGTCTCGTAATCACATACGTGTAGACCGCTCCAATGATAGCCTTTTGCATCCTGCCGCCATCTTTGTCCGCTGAGTTGAGGAGCGGGTAGCGATCATGCGCAGTAGCTTTCTCCTATGGAAAATCAGACGCCGAGTGTGCGTCCGCAGTCACGTGATTAGGCAGTTTTCGCCGTGGGCGGTAAGTGCTGGAAAGGGGTGCAGATGAAGGAACCGCGTTGCTAGGGTAACCCACCATAGTCACCACAAGGTATGAGAAATGCGGACGTTCCATATATGTTCGAGATTGCGGGTGGTTCGGTGCGATAAATCTGTCGCGACATCGACCACAAAGGTTTAAACGGAAGTTTTCGTAAACCGCTTTCTCCCATCCGTTCCGCGCCGCCACTGCACATGCGCGCCTCTTGCCTTGTACGCAGAGTTCCGGATCTCCGAGCGGGTTCAGGAGAGCGTTGCGTTACAACCGGGAAACGATCTGCGAAAACTCCCCAATGTCTTAGTGCCCCTTGCACAACAGGCAGCTATTTTGATCACAAAAAAAAAAAAGGAATCTTTTGTGGAACAACTTTAGCAAAATCGTTCGCTCACAAGTCTGTTCTATGGTGTCCTATCGTTGAAGCTGAAGTGTGGGTACTACATGTTGACGGAATATTTCTAGTTGATGTGCCGTCGGTGAAAAGTGGTCATCGTTCATTCGAGAAGTAACACAATCTTCTTACCAGATTTAAAATTTTTTAAATATGATGTGAGCTATTTTGGTAGCGTACAATTTGGCAAATTAGTCCGGTGTATTCATCGTAACCCCAAGCTTAAGCGTAGTGGGACGGGTGATAGCGGTATACCTCGTCATAGAGTGCTGCGTCCTTCATGTTCTCTCGGAAACTCCATCACGTACTGTGTATTGTGAAACACGCGAGGTATCAACCATTGCCAACACTAGAAGGAGGCTGGCCAATCGGAGATTTCGAAAACTCCTCTGGACCACAAACGCATCACGGAAGGCTGTCCAGGAGTCTTCAAGGTCGGCGGTCCGTAAAACAGAAACCCTGCTGGGGAATGAGGCTATGGCTAGAGTTTACGACAGTCTCATAAGGACTGATTTAAAGATGGATCGCGAACCGGGATTTCAGACCTTTCAGCTTTTCAAGGGGTAAAGCGATTTATATAAAACTATCGGCACTTTACCGGGCAGGCTTATAGTTCTTTCAAATAGCTCTACAAAGCATCTTACAATTGCTTTAACTATGCTATAATCAGCAACATTCGAGATCTTGATTATATAAGCTCTTCTACAAAAAAAAAGAAAAAAAAAAGAAAAGGCGATTCACAAAATAACGAGGCTAAAGCACTTCAGAACAGCAATATTAGTATGACAGTATATTTTTCCCCATAAGGAGCCATTCAATATATTGCGGAACGGCAGGACGACTTGTTCATTTGTTATTCAGGTCTTTCATGTGCTCTACAAAACGAAGGCAATGTTGACAGGTGTTCCGTCATCGGTATACCACGAGGTTAACAGAGAGGGTTAGGGAACCGTTTTCGCACATCCGATACGGTATTGTTGGCCCTCCGGTACGAACTGCGCATGCGCTACGAGCAGAAGACTTGCATATGCGCAGTTTGTGCCGTATCAGATGTGAAAGACGGTTCCCTAAAACTCTTTAAGAGGTCAAAGCTACGCGAATAACGGTGTGCGAATGCCCCCTCCGGTTAGATAGCTGTCTTTTCGTAACCTCCAAATTGATAAAAAAAAAAAATGAAGCATATATTGTTTTTAACTATTTTCTCGCAGTAAAAAGATGCTATTTAGTATGGTAATGAACTATTGTCACAGGCAGCCTAATAAACGCAGGGCGTACATTATTAAGTTGACGCTTCTTATTACGTGAATTATTTTTCGACTGTCTTATTGGCTATAATATCAGAACCTGGATGGTTCTGGAAATAATAATAGGATCGCGCGCGCGATACCCCACATTACTTAAGCTGACTAAGATTATAAATTGCGAACCTCTAATGATTGAGATCAAAAGCGTTGGCGCATGCACCGCCCGGGCTGAAGTGCATTCACTGCGGAAATCCTTCCCTTGTGACCCCAGGTCAATTATAAGCGAGGAGTGTCAGAACGCTGACAGCAGAAAATTCCCTCGCTTGGAATAATTAATGCGCATTTTCCTACTGGGCGACAGGACAGTCCAATGCAATTTTATAATTGGTTTGATCTTTTTTTTTTTTTTTTTTCTTATGGCTACGAATAGGCTATCCCAAGCGGGCCTTCCCCTGGCAAAGGAGCCGGAAGAATTGGCGTCTGCACATAGACTGCTCAAACTTTTAGCGAATGTACGCTGGACTGTTCAGTTTTATAGTGTGAAGGTTGAAGGCGTAATTTTTTTTTTTCTGCAAAAAACGAGAGCGAAATTTTTGCAGAAGTCAAGGCTGGGCGCGTTCGTAGAGAATCGAGTTAGCGAGGCTATTTACTGGTGGCGCCATCTGTTGATAGGCGCAGCGAGCAGACTGCAGAGTACGTCGTCTGCTCATGGCGCCTATCGAAGATGGCGCAATAACTCGATATCGTCGCTAACTCGGTCGTCCTCGAACTCGACAAGCGGTTTTTGCCCTAATGATCTTAACAAAAAGAGAACTACGTTTTGAAATTTCACACGCTAAAACTGACCCACTCAGTGAACATTCGCTGAAAGTTCGGAGTTTCTATGTGCAAGCGCCGATTTCTCCCGCTCGTTTTACAGCGAAAGTTCCGCTTGGGACACGCTGTATATACCGAGAGCATAATCTAAGTGTTTTTAGCTATCGCCACTGTCAAGTTAAGAAACGAAGTGCGCAGCTTATTTTCACCCTCGTTAGTCGTTCTCCGGCATCCTTATTCTGCTAACTCAAAATATAATTTGCTGCGAAGGGATAATCAAATATTCGGAACACGACTCGATCCGTTTCTTACCTTGTCATTGACTATGGGTGGTTCGGCTACCTTGGCACCACATTCTATGTGTTGCTGCTAGAAATCCGTGGATATAGATGCTTTCAGGTACCAGAATATCTGCAGTAGTGACACCTATCCTTCATAAGGGCCGGACAAAGATCATGGGGACAAATACCACAATAGAGGAGATAGGACCTTTCTCTTCAATGGTAAGAGCGGCATATAACGAAGGATGTGATTTTCACAGAGAGCAGCGGTGGCGCTCAGCGCCATCTGCCATTCCCTGGCCGGACACCTCAACTACGGCACCGGGTTCGGCCACGTCATCGGCGGAGGTCTTGCGCCTCCCGGAGACGCTGTCTACAGCGCACCACCCGCCACCATAGCCGTCGCTTCTGCAACTCCGGTCGCTGTGTCTCAGCCTGCACCCGCTGGGCTACGGGGTCCAGCCACTTTGACAGTGACCGTTGGAGCGAAGGATTCCGTTGCTGGTGCTGCTGTGTCACCGCCGGTGGTCAAACTTCCGCCGCTCCCCGTCGCCGTGGCGCAACCGGCAACGGGGGCCACGGCAGCCAGATTCCCGTTGGTACCCTCACCGCCCCGTCCTCCTCCTCCACCTGCCCTGGTTGGAGCCGCACCCCCGACCGCGGTAACGGTGGGTCGTCCAGCTCCCCAGGTCCTGGCCGCTCCTCCTCAAGCCGCGGTAGCGGTCTCGCGTCCGATACCGCCACCACCTCAGCATGTCGTGCCGGCGCCTCCCACGGGAGCCGTGTTCGCTGCACCACCTCTGCGGCCCGGAGCCGTCATCTACCAGCCTCCTCTACCACGTCCCACCTACACGTACCAGGCCCCGCTGCCCGTGACCTTCACCCGCCAGGTGTACCACAACCCTTACGCAGCCGCGCTGCCGCCTCACCTGTCGGCGTACAGACCACATGCGGCTGCCTTTCCGAGACAGGTCCTGGCGTACCAGGGCGGACTGCCTTACCCACCACAGACCGCTTTCACTGCAACCACGTACCACCACCCGCCGCCGGGGACCGTAGCTTCGGGTCCTCCGAGCGCCCTGGTGACGACCTACAGGGGACCGCCGCCACCAGTTCCGGTGACAAGACACGTCTTCATGATGTATCCCGCTCCGGTATCGGCGGCCTACTCCCCCCATGGCCAGGTGTTCACGACGTATCCAGGTGTTGTCCAGGCCCCGGTAGGTTTAGGCCGGCCTCTTGTGTCTGCGGCACCGGTGGCCGTTGGATACAGTGGAGGTGTTGCGTACGGAATGGCTAACAACGCCCTCAAGCAGAACGTTGGGGCAGGGACCACGATCGGAGGGCACAACAATGGTCTCGGCGGTCGTCACTACCTGGTGAACAGAAAGAAGTCCTAAGTTGAATCACGGAGTCGTTGGGACGGCTAGAGATGATGCTTGAAATCTTGCTGCCTCCTGTGACTGCTTCAAAAGAATTCGTGCTTCAAGTATTGTGTGGTAATGCTAAGGTGAACGTGAAGGCAGTGCCATTCAAGATCATTCGGGCTAGCCTGCTGTGGGGACACATTCCAATGAACTCTTTTTATCGACACGTGACTAATCGACTTGATGAAACGGAGTTCAGTTTTCAGTGCGAGCCTCACAGTCACTCAGCCAATTACTGAAGCTAGCATGCCCCGGCTGAGGCGGCAGAGTCTCAGCTGTGAGGGCGCAGAGCGAGTAACGAGGAAAAAGAGTGCTTTGTTGATAGCTTTTTTCAATTCATGAAAAGCTTTAAAAACTAGACTACTCATAGAAGGGTAAGGTGGTTTTTCAGCGCTCTGCTTGTAAATTTTTGTGTCATAGATTTACTATGGTCTCTAAAGTAATCAATATCACGGTCGGTGAGCTCCTGCTTTATTTTTTTGATATGGGCCTGAGTAAAACATTTTTCACATACACTACGTCTAAGCCTCATCTTGTTCTGCATGAGCATGCACGAAGCAAACACTAACGTGGCGCAGAGGGCCAAGAGCTGAAAGTGTGCTGAAATTATTTAAATGTCGGAGCGTTACCATTGATAACTCTCGCGTCGCGTGATTGAATAAATTAGAAGGGTAATTCCTGTGATAGGGCACGGATACTCAACGAAGAATTTCAGCGGGACAAACATCTGAAAGAGGCTTGCTTGGAAACCATTGCGCATATCCCGATGACTCCCTTAACAAGATAAGCCATTCTTGCAACCTTGCGACATTCAGCAATGTTTTCAAAGTCATAACTGTTGAAGACTTACTTATATTACGGGAATTTAGTTTGTTTTTCAGGCCGTCGAACCAAAGGCTGACGAGTTAATGTTTTGGCCACAGTCAGTGAACATATTAGAAATATGTTGATAGCTTTTTATTTAACTTGGCCCTTAAATTTAGGGTAGGGTGTTATGCGCTGTTTCAATAAAGGAGGCGCCCACTTTGGGGATTACGCCACGCAGACAATTTGAAAATACTTCGCAAGTAGGTCATTTCAATCTTTTTGAAATAGGCCTTTCAGACGACACAGTATAATATATTCATGGAATTGAAATTACTATTCGACACATGCAACTACTCTGGAAATCATTCCCACATTTAAATTTGAGGGAGCTCCTTAAAGGGGCTCTGCAACGATATTGGGTAGGCACGTCTCTCACTTTACACCAGCTTACTGGCACTAGTGGGACCCAAGAATACTCGAACGCAACGCCACTGACCAAGAAGCGTTTTAGTCGCGGTGGAATTCCAAGGATCAAAGCGGACCTTCTCTCTCGGTCTCTCCTTCGCAAAACGTAATGGCGGAGCACTGAGGACAATGCCAACGTTACTAGATTACCTCAGTTGTGGAACTCCCGCGGAGGGAGGTAACCTCCCTCGCTGACTTCAGTCAACCTCTCGTCGTTTGAAGCGCCATCTAGACTTTTGTTTTATAACTGTCTGTTAGATATAGCACGGCGGAACGATATTTAGACGTTGTGCTACGAAACGTACGTACTCCATAGGCTACATTGCAACTATCTTAGCAACGGTCTGGCGCGTCGAAGGACGGGAGGCGAGTCTTGGTGACTGAAGAGGATGGGTGTACTGGTCGTGCAAGCATCGTCAATGAGCAGTTTCGAAACTGAGCTAATCTAAAGATGTCGGACAATGCCAGCAATACGATCCCTAGGAGTGCGTCATCAAGCTTTGCGATCCCTGCTGTGACAATATTTAAATACTGCTCGCGCAGTGGAAATGAACTCTGCGTAGGCATTCGATTTCGGCTTGTGATAATCAACGCCTCGACACGCATTCGTGTAGTTAGTTGCTCGTGCCAAATCGCCCTGTGCTGTACCAACATCTGTGCTCCGTCGACCCAAACGTGTGGCCACGTTAAAAACATTGGCGGAATATAATCGGCTTCAGATCACGTGGATGGCTTTTCTGGCTGAGAGTTGAAGGGGTAAACGGTATTCGATTTTCTCGGATTGTTTCTGCGACTGCCATTTGCGTAGAGAAATAAAGTAACGTATGTTTCATATGTCCTGAATGTCAGGGAATAATTCGAAGCTGTATTTATTGAAAGTAGAAAAAAATGTTGCATCGCCTTTTTAAGAGTGATAAACTTGCCTTTTTACTGCCACAATCGAGCAGTAGACGATTACACGACCCCCACTTTGTAATGACGACATCCTTTTCAACCTTCATCCTTAAGCCAACAGCGGCATATTCTTAACCTGCGCTTCAGATGCACCAGCGATCGGGCGCCCAAATGTTTGTCTCCCTTGCCGCAAAGGTTTGAACCTTTAAGATTTCGATTCTAGACGTTGAGAAAGTATAAAGGCCTGTTCAAGCAAACACCACAACGCTACCTTGGCACTATCAGTGAGTGCTGTAAATTGCACTGACCTTGACGGTGCAGTGCTGACTTCGTGCAATAGGAGTGATACAACACTAACACCTCGCTTCATAAGCAATAAATTACGTTGGAGTCAGCGTGAAATAAGCAATGTTCGTAGTGTTAATTTAACGTTGCGACGTATGTGCGTAACGGCCTTAACTGTCATTTCGCCTGAAACGCGCCTGGAGCTGCGGAAGCGTGATACGGGATACGTGTCTTTCTAGATATTACGAAATACCCTCAGGAATTGTTAGACAAAGGATAAGAAGAGCTAGGAGGAAACAACATCCATAGATACCGAACAGGTGGAAGCGGTTCCCCATGATAGAGCGCTTTAAAAGTGACCGCGTTAGAAAGTGACACGGGGGAGTTTATTTACGCTGTGGGTGTGGATGCATCCCTTTCTAGTTAGTTTTTGCTATTTATTTTTATAATGACTGCATCAGAAGATGTTCACTACGGGCAGAGGTTAAAGTTCGACACCGCCCGAGGAAAACGCACAATGCCTACAATTTTGTTTTGCATTTTCTCTCAACAAAGACGAAAACCTTTCGAATGCCGACAGCTTGAATTCTCAGGAAATCCACTGAGGCGTTATTAAAAATGGCAGTGAACCATCCGTCCAAATGAAAAGATCGAGCAAGGAGACACCAATCTAACCTGCTTCAGCGCAAAAAAATAGAAACAAGCATCGTGTCACGAAGTGGCGAGATTTTACCATTCCAAAGGAAATACGTACAGTTACCACGGGAAAAAAAAACACACAAAGAAACCCACAAACACACACTGGCACGAGCAAGCTCTATTCTGCAAGACTGCACGGGACACTAAAAACCAGAACGCTGCTTGTAGGGGACGGGGCCATTTAAACCTTTCCAGCGTTTACCATCTAGGCAAAAAGTGCAGAGTCGCTGAGCTATGAACGATAGCCTCCCCTATATTGACAAAGCCTGCCAGATTGCCACGAGAAGCGGCCGCCGAAATCGAAAAGGTAGACCGGCAGACAACGGATGAGAGGAAAGCCACGTGACGGGCGCCCCGCTGCGGAGAGACGTCGAAACTCACTTTTCCCGAGCGATGGAATGTCGGCTCGTGTTCCTCGCGTTCCACGCGCTACCGCTTCTTTTCTCGTCGGGTTTGAAAATCATGTTTCATGTCCTCGCGGCTGCAAACGCTGTGCGGTGAGGTCCAGGTTCCCCGAGAAATTCTCTGCGCTACCAGATCCTCGCACTCCAAATCTGCGACCGTGCACTCTATGGCTCCGTCGTCCAACTGCCAGGCCTTGTGAGTATAGAGGAGGCTATGTATGAACTTATACACGGCATCTGACCCCCTACAAAAGAGCGCTACCCCGAATGGCTAAAATGCGTCCCAGAGCACAGTGAACGGAGATGGCAGAGCGTAGGAGGCGGTTCACAAAAGCGGTCTCCACAAACGACACGTTTATATCATCGTCTGCTACCGGAGGCTTCCTTCCGATAAGAACGAATAGGAAGAAAACAAAATTAAAAAAGGTCCAATTCCAGGTACGCCCGTCGCAGCGATAGCGTAGTCCTCCGAGCAGGAAGGAAGCGTACGGGACCCGCATCTTTCAATGGGGCCATTGAGTTCAAGAAACGGAGCATGAGACGAAAGCAGTTCCGACTGGACCCCCTAGAGCAAGAGGAGCGGAACAACTACCACTCTCTCTCTCGCTTTCGATTAGGTTTTCTCCCCTTTCTTGCTGTCGGATGAGTGACCCTGTTAAACTTCTCGCCGAGGCATCTGCGCGGCAGGTCGGGTGGAAAATTGACGCAAGGTTGGGGGACGAAGTTTACGTCGTTACGGCAGTGTAGGAAAAAAAAAACTATAATGGGCGTATGTGTCGTTCTTTTAAGCTATATATCTATGGCGAAGAAGTAGCGACCAGCTTAGAGTTTTCCGCCGGCTCATAAGACAATTCCTCATGTCACGCGTATAAAACAAAAAAAAAAAAAAAAGAAAAAAAAAAGAGGAGAAACTAAAAAGAAAAAAAAGAAAAGAAAAAAGCGAGGTGAGGTAGTTCAAGCTATAAAAGGTAGTGACAACCACCGCTGCTCGCTCTTGGTTTTCATATTCCATCATAATTTCGAGTTTTAAATATGAGATATCGAATATTGCATTGTGATTGCTTTTTTTGACCTCATGAGCTACAGGTGGATACAGAAGTATATATTAAAGAGTCCTGGGTTCGAGCCCCACCCCTGCCCGTTTCGATCTGGATTAGCATCGTACCGGCGTGCGGTTGTGTATCACTACTGCGTGGTGCACGTTAAAGACCGCAGGTTAGCAGTCGTACTGCACAGGTAAAATTGCTCATCTACAGTGTAAACCAGTGTCGCCCCGTCCTGGCAGGCAGACTTTACGCTGTATAAACACTAAACGCCCAATTTACCTTTTTTGACTTTGCCCTCATCTACGCGCAAAGAGCGGGGTCAAGAGATGAAAGGAAAGGCGGTTGGTTGGCCCTGTGAGAGCGTAGCTCCCAC